ATATTCTTCTTTTAAAAAATGTCATAAAAATCTTGATATTGGCTAGGAATACCACTTCATGTCTTTCTACTATCAAAAATGTATGTGGCATATATAACAAAAGATGACTCTTTTTTTGTCACATGCATGAAAGTAATCACATCTACTAATAATAATTTCAATGTATTAGACTTATATATTTCTATTTAACTAATAAAGTTTTAAATTAAACTATAAAAATATTCAAGATTAAAATAAATATAATCTATGTAAGGATTATAATTTTTTAATCACAATAATCCTAAAATAATTAGATTGGAATGAAATCTTATTATATTAAATATTACTATTATATTATTATCTTTAATTGCTAGATTTAAAGAAATAGTCTCATAGATAATATCTCTAGAAGATAACAAATGATCATCTATGACTTTTACATATACGGATTTAGTTTTTTTGATTAAAGATATTTCTTATTTTTTCACAAAGTCTTTGTCTATAAAACAAGCTGAGGCTTTTGAATCTAATAATGCAAATATTTTGTAATTTTTACATCTTAAATACATATCTATTGTAAAATAAGGTGAAAGATTTGACTAAAAAATAAGACCTTTACTTGATATTACATATGATTCTAATGGCATAATTTTTAATGTAGTTAGAGACGCTTGTTTTCTAACACATTATCTTATTTGACAATAGTGCTCTTCATTTTGCGATTGCATTGCTTCTTTGGAAAATAATTAGTATGCTTAATTTTTCCATAATATAAGCATAAAGTTTCTTCACAACTTGAAATCTTTTTCTAATTAGTGAGAGGTTTAAAATATATTTTATTACTTTATATTGATTTTAGCCTTGTTGAATAAGTTTTTGAAAATTTTGGAGCTACTATCATTACTTGACTTGTTTTTTTTCAACCAAATTTTTGTTCTTGATGCCTTTCAAATAATCGATTATTACATGTAATAGCTTGAGCAATAAATTATTGGAAAGAATTTACTTTTGACATTGTCAATGACAAATCTTTGATATTTTCTTTTAATCCATATTAAAAATTGATTGGTAAGGGCTTTGTCATTCTAACCCATGTCATAAGCAAGGCTTTGAAATTTAGTAGTATATGTGGTAGTTGACTATGATCCTTGTTGTAAAGATAAGAATTTAATCTCTGCTACTCTTTCTTGAGTACTTTCTATAAATATGGTCATAAATACTTCTAAGAATAAATTAAAATTATTAAAGGATTATAAATTTTTTTCCATCAAAGGTTCAAACTAAGAAAAAGTAATTTCAAATAAAAGGGGTCTATAAATCCAACTTGAATATATCTATCAAGGTATTAGAAATGATGCAACCTTAAATAGAGTTTGATTTATTGTAAAAATCCTTGAAATTTTGATCTTGTTCCACCAAAATTTTCAAGCGTACTAATTTTTTCTTTCCTTGTATTTATGGAAGCAAGACTTCTTGGATTTGATTGTGAAGTTGATCTATTTTCTTCTTTCAACTACATAATTTTTTGGTGTAAATTCTAGACTTCTTCCATAGGCATAAGAATAGTGCTTCTATGGTTGGCATTGATAATGTGTGAAATTTCTTCTCTAAAAGTCTTGACAAGCTTGTAAAGATATGTGATAATTACAGATCTATTCTCATTTTTATCAAGTGTAGCATCCATGATTCTTTTTTCTATTTCAAATAACTTAATAAATCCACAAATCAAATAAAAGAAGATAATTTGTAATCTTTAATGTCAAATAAAAAGTTTCACAAAGAAAGATGATTTGATCTCTTTAAGGATAAAATCAATGTTTAGAAAACAAAAATTTTTAGTTTGTAGGTAAGTAGTCTACAATGTTTAAAATATAACAATAGAAATACGGTAATCTATTCACTTCTAAAAGAAAAGACAAGAACAATGAATTAACACTCTTGTCAATTTTTCAATGAAAAGAATTCAAAGAAGACATGTAAATGAGTGAAGAATGAATCAAAGAGATGAAAAATTAGAAATAAGAAAGTAAATATATTTAATAAAAAATTGGATTGGCTATTGCCAAAGAGTAAGAAGCTAGAGACTCTTAAAACTAGACTAAAAGCAAGAAAGGAATTGGCAAGAATAAAGAAGGCTTTATTTTTGTCTCTATATATACTATTTACATAAGATCTATGTTGCAATGTTCTACATGACCTCTAATATGTGTTCACTTTGCAAGACATATGTCTAATTTACAAGACAAGTTTCTTATATGTATGCCATGTAGTTAGCTTGTTCTAAAAGCTATAAATATTTACGACATATAATTAAATTATTGACCAAGTTTCTAACCTATTAATCACCTATAGACATATTTAAAGTGAAAACACATCTATGAAGCTTCTAAAAAATTTCTCTTTAAGATATTATCAAGTTAATTTATTTTTATTTAATTTTATCTATTGATATTATCTAAATAAATATATCTATGATACAAGATGGCCAAGAATAGCCAAATCTAATGCCACTTATTGTCTCCCTTTTCTCTCTTTATATTGGTTCTTTGGTTATTTTTATTTATTTATTTATTTTCCTCGAAAAAACCCCTTTTGTAGAAAAAAGTGGCTTCTACCAACTATCACACTTTACAGCAGGTAGAAACCAAGCTTAGTGCCACCTGCATGCCTCACCTTTGCTCTGCCGGTGCCCTACTTGAAGTCCCATCCCTTGCAAGAAGGAGCCATTTTTCATGGCAAGCTGCTAAAGAAATGCCTCATTTTGTTGTGCCAATGTTAGAGTCATGATAGAACTTATTCTAAGATTCATGCAGTTTGATTGGTTATTAGTAACACCAATGGCCATGCTCTTAGCGGATTGAGTACTCTTAGGTTGAGTTTCTTTCTTAATTCATGTCTTATCTTACTTTCACTAAACATGCATTCTTTCTAACTTTTTATAAATAGATTGATGTTGAGTTCATTTAAAGAGGAGATTATGACTCCATTTTCAAAAAAATTTGCAGAATAGGTTCTCAACTTGCACTTTATTATTTTTACTTCATCCATGCATGTTTGTATACATAAATGTCTAATTGTTGTTTCAGATTTTGTGACCAGTTTATTTTTAGTGAGAAGCAACAAATTGTTGGAAGTTTCTAAAATATTGGTAGGATAGATTAAGGATTTGGGATTTAAAATAAAAATATTAAAAAAATACACATACAAAATTATTTATAAATATTGAAAAAGAATTGTAAATTAAATGTTTAATAAAATGTTTTGGTGTGAAGAGCCATCAGAATTTTTTGTTCATCTGGTACCTTGTACTAGTTAGAAACCTCTTCCACTTACTCTATTTATTTTGATGAATAACTTCTTAATATTATGCCTTCATGATTGAAACACCTTTATTCATGAGAAGAGAATACTAAAAAAATAGTAATTTTTTTGTAAAAAGATGAAGAAGAAGGGTAAAAGACAAAAGAAAAGAAAAGAAAAAACAAAAACAAAGGAGTGCAAGAGTGGGGAAAACTGGTATGTGTTCAAAACAAAGCAATGGATTCAGTTCTAGGAGAGACAATGAGATTTTTCATGAAAAAATACCAACCAATATAGTGTGCAAAATTTAATTAAAAGTTTGATTATGATTTCAGGGGGGAGTGTTGGTGATGGGTGTACAGCAATTATGATTTACAAAAGTTTCCATAAGTAATAAATGCTTTACCCCATACCATAATAAAATTTAAATGGTAAGAACCAAAATTTGATCCATGTCTGAAGTCAAAGAATAGCTGGTTAATTTTCCTTGGCTGTTGCCTTAGTGTAGTGCACACACACACACACACACACACACACATATATATATATATATATATATATATTCATATGCATACACACACACACATGTTAACTAAGAAATAAACAAAAGACCATTTTTTCCTTCTCCTTCTCAAGTTCACATGGCACAGATGCTGTACAAAGACTAGGCACTCACTGTCAAACCAGCTGCTGATCTAAGGAACACTTGCCTCACAAAGCCCTATACATGAGATTTGTCTACAGCCATTGATGACAGTCAGTGGGGTAACTTGTAGCCCCCCCCCCCCACTTCCCCTCCTTCAGGTTGGTTAGACAGTACTCATAGGGGGGTGGCTACAGCCTGCCATCGATGGGGATGATGATTCTAGGACATCAAACATGACAATCTGCAACTAGCTTTGACTATGGCCTAACATGTTAAAAAGGAAATGAAGAGGAAGGATTGCAAATTCTAAAAAGGAAACCCCAAAGACCAGCACACTATAAGGTCCATTCAGATAGTTCTAGTTTTGGGTTTCTATTATGCAATTTTAATACCAAGTCAACTAGTAATTAGAATCCTTGATGAGTAATTATGTGTCTGAATTGGAACTGTGAGCATGGATTAGTTTGTAAAGTAAAGAGTATTATCTACAATAATGTGGAGGAAATAATGTTGCTCATGAACTAAATGTGTCATGATCTCACAAGGCTCACATGTTGAACACTTAACTTCAAATGTAACAATAACTTGCAGATGCAATAACACATGCATTTCATGTGCTTTGATATGCCATAGGCCCACTTCCTGAAAAACAGACAAATCTCTAGTCTCCAAAAATTTGGAAATACGAAACGTTTAACACCCAGTAACAACCATGCTTGCTCTTCAAAATGTTGATGTCAGCATCATGTCTGGTTTTGAAGTAACACAGAAGAAGCAAAACTCCCAGGAAAACATCTCTTCGTTATAAGTTTGAGGACCAAATTCAATTGTCAAGCCAGCGTATGTTGAAAAAGAGATATTAACGTGCCAGAGAATAGACACTCCAGGACCACATCACAAATGGCATTCTTGTGTCATAAGTACTGTATTGTTCCTCAAGGTACAATACTTTCGAAGGGCTCCATTAGCAACAAAAAATGCACAAACTTCACTTTCAGGTGACAATGACTTGAGATCAATATACTACATGTCTGAAAAGTCCAATATTAACCATCTCACAAATAACCAAACGAACTCAAGAAAGGGTGAATACCGATAAAAAGCGACAGGGGAAGTCCACAGGAAAACTTTTGGAAGAGTACTAAATTAATACACTGCAAAAACTTGAGGGCTTAAATCAATCTGAGTGTTGCGCTTGAACCTGCAACAATGGAGTCGTATTCCAGTTTTTTGAAACTTAGCACCTAACCAATATAAGTCCTGGAAGGGAAATATGGTCAGCTTCTGTTCCAGCAACGTGTGCATTTGCTCTCTGATCTTGGATCCTTCTAGTAACTCGCTGGGATTTGATCGTTCTTTGCACCTCTCAAGGTTAAAGGTTTGGATTAGAGCAGCGAAGAAAACTGAACTAGCTTCCAAAGCCGATAAAGAGCTGAATTGCATTCGACTAAAATTTCAGACTTATCAGCATGATGAAGTTCATCATATCTGCTAATTCATACTCACATTTAGTGCGAATATCGGCGAGTGATAGAAACCCACTTCATGTCTCGTCACCAAAATATCAGCTACTTCCTGTATCAACCTGAAAAGTCCAGTTCAGGTGTATGGGCAGATAACCTCCAGTACCCAGCACCAGATGGTAGACGAACAAAAGTTTGATATACAGTGCGTGTCTTTTGCACACACATAGTATCTTGCAAACTTTTGGATCAGCGAAGACTGTGAATCAAATTCGCATAAGCCTCAATGGCAGAGTCTCATTCGCTGACTGAAATAAAAACAAAGCAACAGTGGGATCAGGACCAGTACAAAGAGTTGCATTAGCCTTGACATTTTAGAGACAAACAGTAATTTCAACAAATTCTACATCAATCATCTTCGTACTACGAACAAAAATGGTGCAAGGAGTACATCCAATGCAGTCAAAGTACTGGATACATCCATGCAATCAAAGAAGCCTTTCAACATGTCTGAAAGTTCATATCCGCTAAAGGTCACGGTGAGATTTAAGTACCACCATCTTAGTTGCGTTTGGATCATACAAGAGGGCGTGCCTTGACAATCCTACTTCGAATGTGACAACGATTGACAGTTCAAACTCCAAAGAGAACGCCCTGCAAGAAGAAGTGGAGTATTACTTGACAATGTATAGATTTTAATATTTGACTTTATTTTTCCGTAAATGTCTGCTCTTGCAATTAAATGTAACGTCTTTGTATGGGTGAGAAGTGACAATTAAACAATACTTGGGGCAGAGCAAGTTTATATATACATTAGCAGGGCTACATACAAGAAGCTTAAAGTCTACCCTGCACTTGATTTTTTTTAAAATGACGCGCTCATCATTTAAGCACGATCGTGGTCCAGTACAAATGAGTTATCAAACCAACTCTATCCCTGAGGTCATTAAAACCGCAAACAAAATCACTAACCCGGTAGCCAATGTGGGGCATGTTAAAAGGCGAGGAAGGACCATGTAGATAGGCACTGCAAGCCCTCGACAAACATCACCATCTGCCACCTAGTTTTAACAACCAAAGATGGAAGTTAGAACCTCTGCTGTCTATTTTATTTGTCTGGTAATGTTTCCATTCTGCAATAAATCACGAAATGAGACGTGCCTGAGTGCTCTGAATCTCCGAGGTCTCAGTGGCAGTTCTGTCACTGGCAGCAACTGATTCCACCCGTAGGAGCTGAAGGTCGATTGAGCTTATGGGAACACATGAATGCTCGACTGTCAACTCACCCGTAACATACTCGGACAAAGAGCACTGAGTAACAACACGTCCAGTGATTTTAAAGCCTCCTAAAGCCACAATATTCAACAATCAGGTCAGCTAACAGTAGCTTGTACAATGAGGGACATCACGCACAAATAATGGGGGTATATCTTTAAGCATTAGAAAAAAAGAAAAAGAAGAAGAAAAGAAAACGAAGACGCCATCTTCAAACACCCAGACAAGAAAGATAGCTGCATACTTAATTTCTTTACAATACTACAGAAACGTGATAAGGTTTAGATATAATAAACTATACTATGGAGGTTTTATATGTAAACGTAGACTCCGTGTATAACAAACGCGACAGAAGAAGAATCTCTGATCAGGCAAAGCACCAGATACAATGACAAGATTTACCTGACCGAAGGACTGGAGAAATCATGTGTTTCTGTGTGTCGTGGGTGATGTAGAAATTTACTGTTGTTGATTCAATGAGTCCTCTGGGTATTTGTTCTGCAATAATCTTACCACTTTCTAAGCAACAATAACACCTCGCGGAGCTGCAATACTTCGCAACATATAGTTAACTCAAGCCAATCTTAATGCATTTACCAACACAGCCTATTGTCGCATATAAAGTAACCAAACGACGAAAATAGCAGTGTAGAGAAATAGTTCAGACTCAAAAAAAGTCATGAACTAAGACTGTTCGGTAAATTTACCAAGCAGCAAACCGAAATTATACCAGGCTGATGAAAAGCATATACCGTTTCGTTCTTCCACCATAAATTCTATCATTGATGACATCTGTTTTTGAAGATATCCTCTGATAAGTTCAGCTGTAAGCAGATACTGTTTCCCACCCAAAATTCAATGTGTTAACGACCTAATTGAGTACAGTTCATGAGTCAAAACTAAACGCCATGTTGATTTTCAGTAAAAAACTCAGTTAATAGCACTTGGATATAGCGAAGTAGGAAGAAGATCAAGGTACGCTCAAGAAATCCTGAAGCCTATAGGACAATTCTTAGGCTGGTCCACAAGATTCTTTGAGTATACTTGTAAAAATCAATATGGCTGACCTTTGTACACTCTTAAGTCAAAACAACCGCGTCATGGTGAAGGCCGTATAGATAAAATTGCGGTTGCTCGCATCTATTGGCAGCAAGTTTCACATCACATCAAACCAAAAAAGCGAGAGCCCCAACAAACATGTAACTGTCGTTGGCACCTGATTTGCCAACTAGATAAAACATACATAAACACTGCAGAGGATCGAAATCCGTGTGAAAGGTACAGAAACTGAACCTGGATATTAATGTAGGCTCCATGAAAGGATTCGAACAGCTTGCCTCCTTTGGGTGTTTCCAAGGAAATGGCAAAAGGAATCTGAATCATACACAAAGATTAAAATTGACTCACATTAAAAAAATAGATTCAGAACATGAAAAAACCGACAATTAGCTGAAACTCACCTCTGTCTCTCCACGTGGAAGTTTTCCAGGAGCTTGAATATCCACAACCTTATGCCTGCGAATGACAATGAAATTAGGTTGGATGATATTCAGGTAGTAAATCAAACCATTAGGGGAAAAAAAGGAGGAAGGAAACATGCACAATGTTTTCTGTAACAATAATGGCAGAATAACATGAAGCATATGAAGATGCTGAAGTTGCTGCCTTACTGCAAGACGGCAGAAGACTAATTGGCATGCTTTCCAACATAGTACTAGCATCTCTTCTTAAAGCCTCTGGACTTATTCCTTGCCAGAGACTATATATTGCGCTTCAAGACTATATTTGTTAGGAATGTAAAGTGGTTTTGATACTCACATGAGCTCAATAGGTTTAACAGATTTATAAAGGGCCTCAAAAACTCCCACCTGTCTGGGACTCAGCTACACATACGAGATAATCCACATACCATCAGAAGTAAATAGCTTCTGACCTTCATAGATTAACAAGTCACTTTCTCCACAAAGCTATCCTACTTGACATCCTTCCGTGGTAAAATTATCAAACCTAGATGTTCACAAGACCAATTACGATAGTGAGAGTGCGTGAACTACCTGCAACATGATGTGTCCTACAGCAGTTAAACGGACACCCTGGTGTGAAACACTTGAGGGAGTATCGACGATTATCGTTCCACCGATTACATCCTGCAAGGCAATTCGCAAACTCGAGAGAAAAGTCAGCGTATCAAACGGAAAGTTTATAAACTTCGTGTCACTTCGTCATTAAGGTTCAAGAATCGCAAGATCGATCGCTCCTGCACATTCCTAACAAGAAACTTTAGGAAAATTTTCTTAGAGAAAAAGAATTAGTACATACAGGTGGTCTGTAAACGCGATCCACTCGATTCAGTTTAATCACCACAGACATCTTCGCATATTCTGCTTTATAATACACTACTCTGCTTGAACCATCCCAGAACTCCTGCACTGAATCAAATAAATATGGATAGTAGAAAACAAACATCGAACCATTGAATCTAGTAACACTCTCGTTAATAACAAAAGTAATTAATTGCGGTAAAACAGCATTCGATGATGTGAACAAAAAAATGCACATACATCACCATTGAACATTGAGAGCAAGCTCTACGCGTACAGGTTTCCATGGTTAACAACTAGGTCACTGAAATTGACGGCACACGATTTACAACCAAAAGAGCAGATGAATTCAGCCATTCAAATGCTGATTGAATTATTAGATAAAGACCAGGAAATTCACTGAAGAAATTCCCGAACCTGTAAACAAAAACAGCTCACACCAATCCAGCGAAAGAGCTTTAAGTCCAGACTCCGGGATGCGCAAGTTAAGAAAACTATGAGCAATTCGGACCAGGAAAAAAAATACAGGATTAGAGTCTAAAAATCGAAACGAATTTTCCGTTATAAAGACTAAGAGGCCTTCCGAAAAGACAACGAGCGGATGGATCCAGACAATATCAGGAACGTACCTTGTAATGCGGTGATTGAAGCAAAGAGCAGCGGTCCCCCATAGCTTGCACGCAGTGGGAATTGGACATGGTCTTCGAAGACGCGGTCACCGAAAACCGTCAGTGACGTCAACATCCACAATGGCGAGAGTCCTCGACTCAATTAGGTCCGGTGTGGATGAATGAATCAACGGATTATTTTCGTTGAAAGAATAATAATTCTAATTCCCTCTAGAAATTCAAATTTTAAAGGACTAAAACTTA